TCTGATCGAGGCTTCTCTGTCTCTGGACCTGTTTTTGTTCATCAGTTTATGTTGTTCATTAGATTCCACATATGAGTGAGATCATGTGATATTTAAATTTCTCCACCTGACTTATTTTGCTTAGCATAATGCTCTCCAGGTCCATCCATGCTGTTGCAAACGGTAGGAGTTCCTTCCTTTTTACAGCAGCATAGTATTCCATTGTGTAGATGTACCACAGTTTTGTAATCCACTCATCTGCTGATGGGCACTTAGGCTGTTTCCAAATCTTAGCTATTGTAAATTGTGCTGCTATGAACATAGGGGTGCCTATATCCTTTCTGATTGGTGTTTCTAATTTCTTGGGATATATTCCTAGAAGTGGGATCACTGGGTCAAATGGGAGTTCCATTTTTAGTTTTTTAAGGAAACTCCATACTGTTCTCCACAGTGGCTGCACCAGTCTGCATTCCCACTAGCAGTGCACGAGGGTTCCTTTTTCTCCGCATTCTTGCCAGCCCTTGTCGTTTATTGATTTGTTGATGATAGCCATTCTGACAGGTGTGAGATGGTACCTCATTATCGTTTTGATTCGCATCTCTCAGATCAGGGGTCCTCAAACTTTTTAAACAGGGGGCCAGTTCACTGTCCCTCAGACCGTTGGAGGGCCGGACTGTAGTTTAAAAAAAAAACTAGTCAGCTGCTAAGCAACAGGCAGCGGCAGCAAAAACACCCGGCGGGCCGGATATATGTTTTCGGCGGGCCGCATGTGGCCTGCGGGCCGTAGTTTGAGGACCCCTGTCTCAGATGATTAGTGACTTTGAGCATGTTTTCATATGTTTCTTGGCCTTCTGTATGTCCTCTTTCGCAAAGTATCTATTTAGGTTCGTTGCCCATTTTTTGATTGGGTTGTTTATCTTCCTTTTGTTAAGTTGTATGAGTTCCCTGTAAATGTTGGAGATTAAACCCTTATCAGTGATAAGATTGGCAAATATGTTTTCCCCTGCAGTGGGCTTTCTTGTTATTTTGTTGATGGTTTCTTTTGCTGTGCAGAAGATTTTATTTTGATGTAGTCCCATTTGTTTATTTTCTCTTTAGTTTCCATTGCCCTAGGATCTGTATCGGTGAAGATATTGCTTCGGCATATTCAGCCTTTTTAATATATTCATAGGTATGGGCCACTATAACAACAGTCAACTTTAGGACATTTTCATCATCTTAGAAAGAAACCTGGTACTCCTTATCTACCCAACCTATCCCTCAACTGCCAACCCAAAGCAATCTACTTTATGTCTATAGATTTGCTTGTTCTGGATAGTTCATATACATGGAATCATATAATGTGGTTTTTTGTGATTGGCTTCTTTCACTTAACATAATGTTTTTAAGACTTATCAATGTTGTAGCATGAATCAGTACTTTATCCTTTTTATGGCCAAATAATATAAGGAGATGAATGGTATGGATATATCACAGTCTGTCCATTCATCAGTTGATGTGTGGAGAGCTGATTGTTATTTTAGCAGGTAGTGAACTTGGTTGGACTCAAACTGCAAACTCTGTCCTCCCTGTGACAAGCTCACCGATTGCCTTCTTTCAAGGATTAATGCCAATCTAGTTTCTGCCTGTTCTTGATTGCTCTCTAGTACCTTCAAGTAGCTATTTTTACATTTTTTTCTGAGTTAATACTTTTTTCTCTGTGAGGATTTGCCTATAAAATTCACCATTGCTAGATGCAGAATTCACAATGCCTCACATTTTAATTAGCAATTGCAGTTTATACAGTCTCCTGTAGGTTCATCTCCTTCAGTCCCCCCAAAACAGTACTCTTTCCTCACCCCAGGTAAATGTCTTAAGTAAAGAGAGAGTATTGTCGGTGGTTTGAAGTTGCTCTATCTGTGTCAGTTAAGAAATTGAATTCTTGGAAACAGAGATTTTAGAGTTTGAGAGTTTTGAGTGTTGACAATGTAAGAAACATCCAAACCTGTAGAGAATATTTATGAGTTTATTAGCCAAGTTGATGACACTTTCTTGGAAGCAAAATCTCAACGGATTAAGAAAATGCTACAAAGAATAGCCACTTTACAGCGTATTTTATTTATTATTATTATTTATTTTTTTACAAATTCCTTTAATAACCTTTCTCTCTCTCTCTCTCTCTCTCTCTCTCTCTCTCTCTCTCTCTCTCTCTCTTTTTCTTTTTTAAATCCTTACCCAAAGGTATTTTCCCATAGATCTTTAGAGAGAGTGGAAGAGAGAGGGAAAGATAGAGAGAAACATCGATGTTACAGAAACACATTGATTGGTTGCCTCCTGCATGCACTCCAACCAGGGCCCAGGCCCGGGAGGAGCCTGCAACTGAGGTACATGCCCTTGACCGGAATCGAACCTGGGACCCTTCGGTCCACAGGCTGATGCTCTATCCACTGAGCCAAACCGGCTAGAGCTACAGCTTATTTTATATATTACAATCAAAGAAGGAGATGTACGGGGTGTTACATGAAATCCATTGTTGGAACATTAAGGAGGCAGGAGAAAGCAATGTGGGAAATCTCTGAGATGGATAAAAAGTAAAATGGAGAGAGGCATACATGGTGGGTATAGGATAGTTAACATTAGTAGCACATGGAGATGGTATTTAGGCAGCAAGGTAACAATGAGAAATTCCGTGGTCCCTTCTTAGTTGGAGATTGTACCCTGAGGGGTCTGGAAAAAAGGGGATTACTCTGACTTCTAAAGGTATGCATTATAGATGTAAAAAGACAGTGGACAGTCTCAGTTAAGGTAAAGATTGACCTTTGTCAAGGAAAATACTGACCTAGGACGTGACTACTCACCACAACTCGCTTTCAGTTAGGAAGTGTTAGTTTCAGAGCATCCTGTGTAGTTACTTTCGGTCTCTGAGTTTGTAGGCCCGCTATGCAGGCCTTCCCTGAGCTTGTCAGGTTTGGTATGTGGCCCCTTTTTTGTCCTCATGATTGAAGTTATTGCTGATGGAATTCAATAGTTCATTCTTGACTCTTTACTATTATGAACATTGAGCTGCAAGTCTTGTAAATTTTCTCACCCCTGATGATTTGGGACCAAGCCTGGCCAGGGAAGCTGTAAAATCCAGCCTTGCCCTTCCTGCCTTTCCAAAGCAGGCTGTCATCCTGCCTCCCTAGAGAGGCAGGGAGTAGGACATGCTAGGTCTGAGAGCACCACCATTCTCGTCTATCGTGGGAACTTAACAACAACAGCAATAAAGTAATCATCACAATAAGAACATCTCTGGGAAGCCTTGCCTCATCTCCTGTCCTGCAACTCAGAGTTAGTCCTTGAATCCTTTCTGTAGCCTCCTGTCCCATGAAGGATAAAATGTTTTAGGCAGCATTGTATTCCCATTCCGTGAGCACTGTCTGTATCATGTGGTGGGTGCTCAATATGTGTTTGTGCAACAGATACTGAACAGTTGAGCACATAATCTGATCAATCTTGTGGTTTTGAATTCTGTGTGAGTGTTCTGAATCCATTACCTGCTTGCTTCATTCACTCATCTATTCATGAACCCCCACTTGAGAGAACAATGGACAATATCTGAGTATAACTTTTAAAATTCTGAAAACAAGTCCAAGTCCTGAATAAAAGTTTTTAAAAATTAAACACAATTCCTATGTTTTCTTGTTGACCTCTGACTTAATCATCCTGGACAAACAAATCAGGAAACCAAAAAGCAAATCCCGTTTTCCTCCTCATTCATTCATGTATTAAAGGATTACCATGTCATAAGCAATTACATTTTAGCACCCAGAAATACTTCAGAATGCAAAGCATCACAGTGTGTAGCTATCACTGGGGATCTGAATGGTGTTAGAGAAAAGCATTTTGAAATAAGAATAAGTGTTAATAATGCACCATTTTGATGCTTGTGGTTTTTTTGAAAATGCAGCTTATGTGACTTCTCTGGGGAGATTTGTGGCTTCCCGGTATGCCGACGGACTATTCCCACGGGTCTACAGAGCGGAGGATGGCACAGCATACAATGTAAGTGGGAATCCCCTTAGGGACAGGCCCTGTGATCACTGCTGAGGTCTGGAGCGGCCCGTGCAGAGAGGCTCGCTGCTTCCAGTGATGCCGGAGCTTGAGGAATAAGTTTGAGGGACAAGGGGATGGGGAAGGAGAGGAGTTTAAGACAGATGGGACAGTGTGAGCCAAGACATGAAACTGTGGAATTACCTGGTACGTGGTGTTCAAAAGACAGTTTAGGTACTTGGGAGTGTTCTGAGAGTTGTTGAAGTTTTTCAAAGGTACCAGATCTTTAAAATTTTGGTTCTTCACAGAATAAGTATAATTTTTTCTTATTCCTTTCCCATGTCTCCCACCACCTGACACCCCGAAAGGCCTTACACGACTGTGCCTGTTCTGTGTGGATGATGGTTTGTGTGAGCAAGAAATGGCCCGCAAGCCTCTGTCACCTTTCAGTGACGGCCCCGACGGGTGTTGGTGGTGGCTGTAGGTGACTGAGTGATCCAGATGCAGGGGAGCCTGGGCTGAGAGACGGGGGACACAGGATAGAGGTCTGAGCAGGAGGATAGTCGCCGGCGCAGCATCCTTGGAGGAAGCCGGCAGGGGTGCTGGCGTGGTTAGAAGCATTTGCAGAAATACTTTTGGCATGTTGTAGTTAGGAAAACTTTTCAGTGAGGCTTATAAAAAATAAGCTTCTCTCTTTTTAGCGAAAAATTAAAAAAAAAAAATTTCCCTGGAAATTTTCTGATAATGATTATTCTGTAACTGTAAAGATAAAACATGATCTAGAAATAGATCTTTTAAAAGAATAATAACACGTGATCATCTTTTCTCCTGTGGGGAATCAGCCACAGGTTTTTAGCTGCAAGACTAGAACCCTTCCTTTTGGATTATGTGGGGGTTGGAGGTCATCTACAAACTGTTATTCATGCAGTTCTTGATGGCAGGGGCCTCGGCTCACTGGGCCCTGTTGTTCCTGGCTGCACTGTGGTTCAGGTGACTTATTTTGGTATCCTCGTTATTTATTTATTTATTTATTTATTTATTTATTTATTTAATTTAATTTCATTAAGCTGACAGCTAAATCAGAACTGATTTGTCAGTTTGCGGAACATTTAAAACAAGCAGCAGAGAGCTATGAGCAGCGGATAAACTGGCTCACCAGCGGAAGCCGGCAGGTGTTTGGTGTCATCCTGGAACAGTGCATCACCATAGTGCTGGATTGGGGTGACATGCGGGAGGAGGAGCTCAGTCTGTGCCAAGACGCTCTGACAATGGTCCTCGAGGAGCAGGTGGCTCTCATAGCCAAGTTCAACATCATACGGTGAGCTTCCCATGGGCACGGAGTGCTTCCGTGAAACTTCATAGGCAGTTTTCATTCATGTGGAGTTAAGTAGCGTAACTAGCATAGTTAGCTCTATTGGGGGGGGGAGGGGAGAGGATGTAATTTTGTAATTTCCCTAGAATATAGACTTCCAGCAGAAAACCCACAATGAATATCTCAGAAAACTTTTATCTGCTTTGCTCTTGGTATTTTAGTTTTCAAATTAGGAGAGATTTAGAAACACACTTTTCTTCAATGCATGGCAAGATGAAAAAATATAAGAATATGAATGATATTGAGTAAAAATCCCTTCACTCATTTTAGATTTTAGCTTGGATAGTGGATTTAACCTGGTCACAAATTTCACTGGTTTTCAGACTGAGCTTGCAACTCAAGTTGACCTTTCCATAAGTTCACCCCTGAATCAGAACAGCAGGTGGCTGGCCTTATAGAATCTCCCGTGTTTCAGGGCTTTTGCAGTCAATCATTCATAGACTCTTGGATTTGAGAGGATTTGGACTGCAGGCCAACTTCCCATGTGGAACAGTGGCTGCACCTCCCCGACAAGAGGCACCTGGAAGGGGGGCATCTACCTGAGTTTTTCTTTTCTTTTTTAATTGAATTTATTGGGATGACATTGGTTAGTACACTGAGTTTTTCTTTTTTAAAAATAAAATACTTTTAGCTAAATAGATGACATCTTTGGGGATGCTGCCTAATCGTGTCCTATCCAATGTTCCTGTTCCTGTCACAGATATATTGAAGGAAATAAGTGCTTAAGTCTACCACACTGTAGCTTTCTTGGAAATGCTCTAGCATATGGGCCACGCGGCCAGATTCTCTACCGGGAAGCCGCCCAGGTGACACATGTGTGTGGCAGCCTCTGTCTCTGGAGGTTCATTGAAGCCGTGTTTCACATCATTCTTATACTCATAAATTCATATGATTCATATAGGTCACTGGATTATAAACATGGAGATAAATACATTCAAATGGCTGTTTTTGAAATCAAAATGATTTAATAAATTTAAAAGACTTATGCTCTGTTGAACTCAGATCAATACTATTTTTTTATAAAGTATATTTTTATTGTTTTGTTTTTTTTAGAGAGAGAAAGAGAGGGAGAGATAGAAATATCAATGAGAGAAACATTAACATCGATTGGCTGTCCCCCTACTGGGGATTGAGCCCTAACTGGGAATTGAACCGCTGCCTTCCTGGTGCATAGGTCAATGCTCAACCACTGAGCAACACCAGTCAGGCAGAACAAAACTATTTTTAATCCAAAAATACATTGATGGGATTCTTTCAGAACAATGAAAACAATGTAATAAAAGAACCAGAATTTTATAGTAATAAAATTGTTGCTAATTTGCAAGTCTTAATGCTGTGAATCCTTATAAATTTACTAGCAATAGAAGACAGTTCATATAAATCTGCCTGTTTATGAAAATAACTTCCTCAATAATTTTTTAAAATATATATATTTTTATTGATTTCAGAGAGGAAGGGAGAGAAAGAGAGAGAGATAGAAACATCAATGATGAGAATCATTGATTGGCTGCCTCCTGCACGCCCCCTACTGGGGATCAAGCCCACAACCTGGGCATGTGCCCTTGATCAGAATTGAACCCAGGACCCTTCAGTCCATAGGCCGACGCTCTACCCACTGAGCCTAACTAGCTAGGGCACTTCCTCAATAATTAATCTACTTTATAATGTTTGAAATTCTCTGTTCTCCATAAACATTGTTTTCCCAAGTCAGTACAGCTGATGGCAGGTAATGGTGCTTTGGAAACCTCTTTCAGAGGCTGGGAGCTGCCTGTCTTTCTGTCAGTGCTGATGTTAAGTGGCTGCTGCTCAGGACGGTGAGACTGAGGGCTGACAGCTGTTGTTGTTGACTGCTGCCGGTGACAGCCCCATGCGATTCCTTTCAGGGCTTCCCGAGAGCCTGTGAAATGGCAGGAGAACGCTGCTCCTGCGATGGAACAATCCATAGCTGCCGCCATCAGCTGGGTGGAGAAACTGACCTTGGAGCAGGCTCTGAGCCAGGCTAGCCGCCTGGACGCTCTGCAGGAAGCGGGGAGAGACAGAACTGTAAGTGTGTATCCAGGGCTGGCCCCGGTCACGAAGGCGGCTTCAGGCTTATGTCTCACCTCAGTATCCTCATATGCCGTTCAGCTGATCCGAGTCCCTTCCCAGGGGCATCCCACAGAGGCTGCTTCATTGGCACTGAAGAGCCCCATAGTCTTAATCCTGTTCTCTGAATTTGGAACCAAGTGAGCCAGAGTGACAAGCCCCAGACAGGGATCAAATTCACAGCTTTGGTGATGGCAGAGCTGGACCAGCCAAAATGAGACTCCCTAACACCTGTCCTCTGGGCTCCTCTGGTGGGGTGACTGGGGTCGACCCTCATTTAGCCACTACCAGGAGAGCCACATGCTGCTCAGAGCCCCTGAGCATCGAGGAAGGACAGGGTGTAGGACCTGGTTCTGCATCTCTGACCCTTTAATTCCACTCTTGCTCTCCTGACAATTAGATGAATCAGGCACCTCTTATGGGAGGAGAGGTTGGAAGAGTCCTCATAGCACCCTTCGATGGGGAAGTAGGGCTTCCCCCACACCCATGTTCTGAAGCTTTCCCACTTCCCCTTCTCACAAATGGGTCTGTCATGTGCTTTCCAAGGTGATGTACCTCCATGCCAGTGATTCATCCATTTTCAAATGTGAATGTATTCACATATATACATTTTGATAGTGACCTTTTGGAAATAAAGATTAACTGGAAGAAGTGATTAATGGTGGTGTTCTATGTGTCTTTCAGCCACAAGGATGTGTGTTTTTGTGAGTGACTCTAATGGTGGGACTGTCAAGCGTCAGTGGCATGCCAGAGAGGAAGTCCCCTGGGCAGGTGGGTCCTTTGACCCGCCTCAACTCCCTGCCTGGGGGTGGGTCCCCTTCCTTTGAGATACAGCTACTTAATTAATATTAACATTTAATTGCTTTCCAACCCTGGAAGCTGGGGAATTCTATAGATTTCAAGCTTTATTCTGCTGCATTAAGAAGTCCTTTCTTGGGCTAGAAGGCCGTGTGCTGGCACCTTGAAAGGGTAGTCCTCAGTGGTCACCAGGCTGTGTTTATGGATACTGAGGAGGATGGTTTGACATTGGAAACACATTGTTTATCCTCACGAAGCCAGAAGAGCAAATGTTTCCCATTAAAGAAGAACAAAATACAACCTACTTTGTTCTTTGGCCTTTCAAGTTTGTCTTAACATCTGTAAAATTTCAAGGGTCTGGACATTGTAATTAGCATTCAAGAAATGGGACATTTAACAGGCTCGTGTGTGTGTGTGTGTGTGTGTGTGTGTGTACATGCACACGCGCCTTCATGGGTGTTTTCTTTCTTTGTTCACCTGGCTACTCTTATCACAGCTGACTGACAGCTTGACTGCAAGATTTCCCCGTGACCTTGATTTTCTGTTTTACTTGCCTCTGGTTTGTGCCTCTCCTTTCTCTGGGCTTCATCCCAGCGCAGGAAACAAGGAACATTTCAGTGAGCTCCAGGGAAGTCCAGAAGAGGAAGAACCCAGAAAGAAGCCTACACGCACTGACCATCAAATGCCCCCTGAAGACCTTGAGGAGAGACTGTGGAGTATGACAACTGCAAAGTGCATTAGACAGGCGGTCCCTCCACCCAACGCTTTGCTTGGTTGTGGTCCCAAGGGAAATTCTGTAAATGCAACTGCTTCATGGGTGAAACTGCCCATCCTTACGCTTTATGAGGAGTACAGCAAAGCTCGCACATGTGTGTAGGTGGGGTGGGGAGGGAATGGGTCCCCTGCTCTGTGAAACTCAGCCCACCGCAGTGAGTTTCAAACTCATCTATGTTGCTGCCGTTCGCTGTGACTAGAAAAGATTAGAGTTTAAGAAACTTGAACAATAAAGCTAAACACCCAGACTTTTCCTACTGAGGGTAACCTGCTTGGGGTTAGCATCTCCCAGAAGTGAGTCCTGAGAGGAACCAAGAAAGTGAGTATTGTCTTGTGTCCAGAGACGTACTCGGAGGTTGGGTTTTTGTATCAGGTCCCCACGAGAAGGGAGGGTCCCGTGTGCTTGGTTACGGGGAGGGAGAATGTTCAGAGGCCCTGGCCTCCTCCGGACTGGGCTCTGTCGCCGCAGACGGGCCAGGAAGATTGAACAGCGGGATGAGCATGAGCCCTCACGTCCAGAGGAGCCGGGCAGAGGGTGGGAGTCTGCTTACATCTCCCATCATGGCAGGTGAAGAGCACTGCACATGGGTGAATTACTGAAGTGTCCTGGGGGAAGTCCTGGCTCATGGGCAGGGCAGCCGGGGGTGCTGGAGGGATTCCGCAGTCTAGAGGGGCTGGCATCACCCTCAGGGCCCAGGTGTGCTGTCCGGCTCAGGGCTCTGCCCCGCGGCACACTGCGGTCAGAACCCTGCACACGTCTCTCGGAGGTTGGTAGTTGCTCAGTCTTTATGGGGGAGGAGGTGCAGGGCCCAGAAGGCCTGCTGGCCCAGGACATGTTAGGAAGGAAAGACTGGTGATCTCGGCTGCCTGAGAAGCTAACCAGGGGCCCTGCCTCTGCTTTCACAGCGGCCACCTCCCAGGGGCTCCTGTTCTCTCAGCCTCTCTTTCATCCACTGACAGGCGCAAATGCGTTTACCCTTTTACTGGACGGCTAAGTGGGTGAATGGGAGACAGACTCCCGTGATTCCATAGGAGCCCCCCACTGGGCAGTAGAGAAGGAGGGGCCACCTCAGGCGTTCCATTTACTTCCTTCAGAGATGCAGACAGACATCAGATCTCACCTCTGTCCCCAGCAGTGGCAGTGCCTGGCAAGGGCTCGCTGTCTTTGATGAACATTGAAGGAATAGGAAGGAAATAATGTTGATATTCTTTTTTTAATGTTTTTATTTATTTATTTTTATTGACAAGGGAGAGGGAGAGGAAAACATTGATGGGAGAGAGAAACATGGATCGGTTGCCTCCCACAGGCACCCCTGCTGGGGATCAAGCCCACACCTGGGCAATGCCCTGACCAGGAACCAAACCGGCAACCTTTCAGTGCACGGGATGGCGCTCCACCACCTGAGTCACACGCCAGGGCAGTGCTGGCATTCCTGGGCTTGGGGGCTAGATGAGGTCTAAGAGAGTCCCCTCCCCAACCTAGGGTGCATATTTGAGTTTTTTGAAGTGAAGGGAGGTGGTCTGCGTGGGACCAGGCAGGCGAAATTGCTGAGCCTTGTGACTGATAGGGACGGCGGTGGACACAGGGACCCTGAAGCCCGGGAGTCCCCCAAGTTGGTGGTGGTCAGGGTGTTAGGGCAGATCTGAGACGTGAGCTGATTAATACCACGGGGGTAGTTCCTGCCGTAGGAGAATCAGAAAACCAAAATTGCTGCTCCAGGAAAGGGCTGCCACAGGCCAGGGAGGATCTGGAAGTTCCACTCAAGGTCCGGGTTGGTCAAAACTGTTGCAGTGGCCCAAGTTGTATGACGAACGAGAAAGTGTTGCCAGACCTCGCCATGCTGATGGGGTCGACTGTCACTGTTGCTTCCTTGCGGAGGGAGATTTTCAGACCCAGAGGCCTCGGGGCTCTGACCGGCGAGAGCCGCGGGGAGTCCGGAGGCAGCCTCTTGGGGCTGGTCCTTCTTCCCCCAGCCTGTGGCTGGGAGGCTGCGGAGGACCCCTTGGCCGGCAGATGCAGTTACCGTGGGAAGCTGTTGGACATTGGTTCAGGCAGAACAAGACATTTTTAGTGAAACAGAAAAGCTCCGCCCTATTCTATGCAGTATAAAGTGGCAAGAGTTTGTGATGCAGGAAATAGCTGAATGTAACCCACACATTTTCCAGGTCTTGTGTTATCAGATTCAATGAGATTGGCATGAAGGGAAGTGCAGGTCAGTGAGGAAGCTGGCCTGGTCCTGGCTGCCTCTGCCCCAGCCGGGCCTGCCCCGGGGAGCTTGGAGGTGCTGGGTAGGGGGAGGGTTCCCGGGGAGATAAACCCCTGAACCAGACCACCTCCTGGACTCAACTTTGGTCAGTGACATTGACAGCTGGTGGTCGGAGCCTCGGATGGTGTGGGAGCTGAGGAAGTGAGAAGGGTGCCTGGCCTCTGGCCGCTTGGTGTCCATGATCTCGCTTTCACAATGCTGGGCATCCACCTTCACCTTCAATAGGTGGCCAGCCTTGCCATGAAGAGGCGACAGAGTGAAGTGGTTGAAAGCAAGTACAGCAGCTCATGGGTTTCTTAGCTGCAAGACCAGGTCAATTAACCTGTCCAGGCCGCAGTTTCTTCATCTGTAAACTGGGCGTGAAGATAATTCATATCCCACAGGACTGCTGTGTAAAATAATTCATTTAGCTTATTGTCCCACATAGCAGATGACCCCAGAGCCATTTCACTTTAAAGGGCATTTGGCCAGTTTGGGGAGGGGCTGGTGGTAGGCAGCGTATTATCTCCCTCTGTTCTTCTCAGTGTCTTATGAGAGCGGACGGCGAGGCAGAAAGGCAGGGTGCAGGGGGAGGGGTGGGACAGGCGGCCTCCTGGGAAGCATGTAGCTCGAATACCTGAGAGCTGGCAGAAACAGGCAGTTAAGAAGCTGAGGACTGAACTTAATGAGTAACCCTATCGCCTTCTCGAGGGAAGGAATCGCGACTCGCTGCTGGCTACAGCAGTTTTTAGTTTGATGAAATCTCGAGGGAAACATTCTGCACAGGGATTCCAGACTCCTGGGTTACTGCCAGGGCAAAGCAGCCGGGTCTGCACGCCCGCTGCAGGGGCGCTGCGGGGTGTCAGCCGGCAGACCACCGAGAGATGTTTACCCTCCCTGACCTCCCCGCCGAGCTAGCAAACCCAGAAGGTGCCCCCATGTCTGATCCCCGTCTCAGGCCACGTGTGAATTTAGATCCTCTGAGAGGATGCACCATCCATGCAACACTTGGCACCAACACGGCTGAAACACTGCATCACTAGGAGTAGCTCAGCGGCGTCCGCCCTGCATCCCACACAAGGTCACAGATGACAGCAGGAGAAAGTGGGCCTCGTGCGCTTGCTGGAAGAACAATCTTAGGAATAAGGAGGAATCGGACAACACTGCTCCTCCTTCGGTGTTTTTCCTGCCACCTGGGTGACTGGCTGAGAGCATGTGCCGCTTCCCTCAGTCTTTACTCCCCTTCGATCCTTTTTAAAGTCGGAGCTGGAGTTAAAAGGCCTGAGAGGAAGTGGGGATGGGAGGTAGGGCAGGCACAGGGGGCTCTTTCGGGTTGGAGGAGGGTTGTTGCTGCAATAGGCTGCTCTCCGCTCCCACTGTGCTCTCCTAGCTCCCGGCCTGCGTCCTCTGTTGCCCTGCCCTCTCCTGGCTCCGGGGCACAGAGCCTGCCCTGGCCACTGCCCACAGGGTGTCCTACCAGCTGGGGAACTGATCATAAGCCCGTCTCTGTGCCAGGTGGGTGTAAGTCCCAGGCTGGAAGTCTGGGGGAGATCATTGATGGTTTTACCTTCTGCTCCCAGGGGCCTGTGATTTAGAGCAGAGAGAGGCTCGTAAGTCCTAAAGGGATAGGCATCTCCTTATCCCTTAAAGATGGGGGTTCCCCCTGGCATCTGGAGACAATCCATCCAGGTGTTGGTAGGCAGTGTAGATGCTGTGCAGTGTGGGCTCTCTTATGTACATAAGTGTAGGTCATCTTGTTTACTGCACTCTCGCTCTTATCTTCATTAGAATTACTTGCCCCAAGTTACAGAGCTCCTGGGGGTGGGGTGGGGGTGGGGGGGAGGAGGTGTGCGCCATGGAAGGCAAATCCTGGAAAGGAGCAAGGGCGTTGTGGTCGCTGTAGGACGGTTGTCACGGGGCCCTTGGGTGGGACTGACGTCACTCTAAATGAAGCAGGGAGCTTTTGGGGATTGCCTCCTATCTGGTGTGTGTGTGTGTGTGTGTGTGTGTGTGTGTGTGTGTGCTGACACAGGGGCTGTTCATTCTCTCACTGTTTTCATGGCGACAAGAGGCAAGGCCCTGTGGGTGGACCTGGGTCTTCGCCTGCTGTGTGACGTCCGGACAGCCTCACCCCCCTCCGGGCATGCGCTTCCCTGTGAGATGAGACCCGAGGATGAACCAGCCGGGAATGTGTCTTCCTGCCACAGTCTGCCTCAGACCAAGGATGGAGGAGCTGGATTGCAGGATTCTGGCTCCGCCATGGAAATGGCTGATAAGCTTCCTGTCACAGTGGCTGTGTGTCTTCCTGTTGAAAACAGCTGCTCCTGCCCCTGCCCCTGCGCTGTGTGCTGCACTCATGGGCACAGAGAAAGCTCCTCTCCAGGCTGCCAACCATTTCCTCCCATGTGGTACCCGAGGTTGCGGCCACTCCCACAGATCTCGGCACCAGGCCTTGGATCCCTCACTTCCTGACCTTGGTCCCAAATGTCCTCACAAAACATTGAGCAGTGCTGCTGCCTTTCTGTGCTCCCTTCTCCCCGCCCCCCCCCCCCCCACCACCCTTTAAAAAAATGCTGTTTTGTAGGAAGTGTACTGCCAGTGAGCCCTGCACAAGGCGGGGCGGGCAGGAGGTGAGTTGCTGGGACTACTTTCTTGCAGATTGAATCCGTGTACTACTTTGTGGTGGGGGACATTCCTGAGGAGTCCAAGCAGCTGCTCCTGCAGAGGGTGTTGGAGATGCCATGTCCTGTCTGCACCGTGTCCTTCAACGCCAGGGGAGAAGGCACCGTGGCTTTCCTAAAGGACCTGAGCGCCAAGGCCCACGGCAGGTAGGCAGAAATGGGCCCTGGACGGACTGCAGGGACGGGGCCTGGCCGGTCTGCGCTGTGCTCTTCCCGTCTCCCCAGCCATCTCAGTCTCCACGCACCTTTTCTTCTCCACCCTGTACTAGCCTTGCCTTTTATTATTTTTTAATCCTCATTCAAGGATATTTTTCCATTGATTTTTAGAGAGAGGGGAAGAGAGAGGGAAAGACAGAGATATATCGATGTGAGAGAAACACATTGACTGGTTGGCTCCTGCACAAGCCCTGACCAGGGCCTGGGCCAGGACACTGCAACCGAGGTACGTGCCCTTGACTGGAATCTCAGGCCGATGCTCTATCCACTGAGCCAAACCGGCTAGGGCAGTCTTGTCTTGTTTTTCCTGTAATTTGGATGCTTGGACATTGTGGGACCTTGCTGACCTTGCAGAGACTGCCCCTCCCAGGGCTGGCTGATCCTAGAGCGAGTGAGTGACCCCTGAGCAAGCTGCCCAATGCAGACCCCTGTTTCCTGCTCACCCCAGAGCAGGTACCAGAAACTCCTCTGCCTCAGAACGCGCTGAAATTATGCAAACATAGCCAGTCCCAGGCCTGCTTCTCTGCCTTGCCCGTGCCTTCCTTCACTCCGGCCCATGCTTCTTCTGCCGCCTCTGCCTCCTGACCGGCCCTGGCGCTTTCCTGTGTGGCCCTGGGTGGGGGGTGCCCCTCCTCTTGGGCGCTGTGTTAGTTCTGCCTGCCATAGCCAAGTAGCACAGGCTGGGGCTTAAACAACAGACATTTATGTCTCACTGTGCTGGACGCTGAAGTCCAAGATCAAGGTGCCTGCTGATTCAGTTTCTGGTGAGAGCTCTCTTTCTGGCTTGCAGACAGCTGCCTTCTTGCTGTGTCCTGTATGGTAGGGAGAGAGAGGGGCAGGGAGAGAGAGAGAAGTGGGTGGGGAATCCACAGCATGGAGCTCCCTGGTGTGTCTTTTTAAAAGGATGCTAATCCTATCAGATCAGGACTCCACCCTGAGGACCTCCTTTTACCTTCATCAGAGGTTAAACCAGTGGTTCTCAACCTTCTGGTCCTTTAAATACAGTTCCTCATGTTGTGACCCAACCATAAAATTATTTTCGTTGCTACTTCATAACTGTAATATTGCTACTGTTATGAATCGTAATGTAAATATCTGATATGCAGGATGGTCTTAGGCGACCCCTGTGAAAGGGTTGTTCCACCGCCAAAGGGGTCTCGACCCACAGGTTGAGAACCGCTGGGTTAAACTTTATAGGCTTCAGGGTATGAATGGAAAGGTGGACACATGCACTCATAGCGGGAACTGTGAGTAATGGATTGCCTTTTCAGTGGCAGTTGAAGTGATCTGTTGGCCTCATCATATCTGAATAATAATGAAATCTGCATTTTATTTTACTTTTTTAAAATACATCCTATTGATTTTTTACAGAGAGGAAGGGAGAGGGACAGAGTCAGAAACATCGATGAGAGAGAGAAACATCGATCAGCTGCCTCCTGCACACCCCCCACTGGGGATGTCCCCGCAACCAAGGTACATGCCCTTAACCGGAATCGAACCCGGGACCCTTCAGTCCGCAGGCCGACGCTCCATCCACTGAGCCAAACCGGCTACGGCTATGAAATCTGCATTTTAAAACAAACCCCACGGGCCTGTTTGTGTGTGAGTTGAAGGCCCTGGGGGAGAGAGGCCAGCTGCTTGTGTGAGTACCAGGAGAGGCCTGGGCCTGTCTGAGACGAGTGCAGTGCCGCTCGGGGGTCTCTTCTCAAATTGAGTTGCTCCTCGTGTTTGTGTGGGGAGCTTGTTCATCATCGGAGGCCGGGGCTTTACCTGGCAGGCTGACTCCGCACAATGCAGGGGAGCCTGGTCACATGCAGTTAGCCCTGCGTTTTGCTTAAGAACTATCGAGGGAGCTTGATGAAAATGCACATGTCTTGGCCGCAGCCCCAGAGATACTGTCAGGAGGGAGGGAGAGCCAGGAACCCCTGGGGTTTCTGAGGGACACTGCTCTGGCTGCTCTTAAAGCACTTGGGAGAAATCGGCTTCCATCCTGGTGCCGGGCCCCCACCCCCCAAATACAGCAAGGGCTCACTGCCCCCCTTTGCTATTGGAGACAGAAAAAGGCAGCTTGCGCGGCCCACCTTCTCTTCTCAGATCAGGTCGGGCATCTCCTCTGGGCAGGTGAAGTGGCCAGGGAGTAATTAACAGGGAGTTCGCTCTGACTTTCAGCACTTCAAAGCTTTCCCAACTCACCCCTCCATTTCAGCTCCTGACTCTGTAGCGCCATGCACCGGAGAGTTCGAGTTTCGAGGAAGAGGGCGAGGTGTAGACACCCCGCTTCTTGACCCTGTCCCTGGTCTGGCCCTCGAAAGTGAGCCCAAAGAACAGCCAGCAATGCTCCTGCCCCTCACGGCGCCAGGGCCCTGGGTCCCACTTGGTCTCCCTGCACTTTTGGCTCTTGAGCCCCTTTCTAAAGTGCAGTAAGTGTCCAACTCTAAGGGCATGTCCTGAGCGTCTCAGCTGGCGGGGCCTGGACTCTGGGCGCCCCTGTGCCCCAGGGCAGAGCCCCCAGCCCTCTGTGGTGCTGTGCTCTGTGGGCTCTTAATGGTGATTTGCTTTCTGCACAGCGAGGCTTATTAGCCAGAGGGAATGTCTGCCTGGCTCGCTTTTCTAATCCGGAGACCTCATCAGAGAGTAGAAAGTCTTGGGTACCAAAGGCCTTGGCATTCAGGGGGTGGGCCTGCCGGGACTAGCTTGGCATCTCCTCTGCTCCGCCAGGAAGCTGGCCATTTCTGCTCGGGGAGAGGTCCCAGCGGGAGGCAGGCACAGCCAGGTTGAGTCCATCGGCCTCATGAGGAACCACTGGACAAGGCTGGCTGTTCACTGCCATCAAGCCATCGTCCTAGTGTCACCTGAAACCCTTTAGAAATAGACGGGACTGCCCAGCTGGCATGGCTCAGTGATTGATCGTCGACCGGTGAGCCCAGAGGTCACGGTTTGGTTCCCGGTCAGGGCACATGCCTGGGCTGTGAGCTCAATCCCCAGTCGAGGACATGCAAGATCAGTGATTCTCTCTCATCATTGGTGTTTCTATCTCTCTCTCCCTCTCCCTTCCTTTCTGAAATCAATAAAAATAAAAAAGAAGTAGGAGGGACTGAGGCTTCCCGTGGCCCAGGCGAGGCCACATCCACCCACCCGCGCTCACCTGTGCTTCGGGGTTCTCTCTGGGAGGGTGAGCAGCCACGGGCCACCCCGACAGGCTGGATGAGCATTCCTCAGAGATCTCCTCCGCCCACCTGGAGAATTCCCCGTGACTGCTGACTTTAGATTCCAGATAAGTGGCTTCGGCCGTGGCTTAGCCCACGACCCGCGCACCACACCGGCGCTCCTTGAGCTTTAAGGAGCACCAGTCCCTGGGGCGGAAGCTTGTTCAAGTGCCGCTTGCACTCAGCGTCGTGGTGGCTGTGGGAACATGCGTCCTGGGCAGCTCCCAGGCGCTGCTCTCCTGGGCCACGCTTGGAGGACTCAGTCCCTAAACCGTCCACACAAGAAATCTTCCCATTCGGACTCCGCGTGGGTCCCGGGGAAGTGTATTTGCCGAGCTCAAGCTGACTGCAGCCTGGCGGCCAACAGCAGGTGCCATCAGCAGGTGAGCCAGTGCCCCTTGTCGCCTGAGCTCTGACTACAGGGCTGTGGGCACTGTGGGGCCACGATAGACTTGACTTGTCAAGACTGTGCTGCCATGAACAAAAAATCAACGTAAGTACAGGGTATCGTTTCTCCAGGCTCAAGAAATACCATTTGGCTGAGCAATGACTCTGTAATGAAGAGAAGAGTGATCAGTTAACATCCCAACACATCCACAATTCCCTGTTTCCTCCCACCTCCCTGTGTGCCCCCAGGGAACAGGCGAGGTGCAGGGAAGCGCTGATGGTGCCCGGCAGCGGGGAAGAGCAAGTTCATGGTCTCGGGCGACGAATGGACATGCGCGAGCACCACTTTCCTGCCTAATGTTGCAAATCTCTTCACGTTTCAGGTTCCATGCGTTTGCAGAGAGAACAGAGTGTGCGGGATTCCCTGCATCCTCCCTAAAGGATGGGGACAGTGTAGTGACCAGGAATTCAAGGAAACTGAAAGGAAAACCCGCTCCAGGTACCTGGCATAGAAAAGAAACTGTGCGTTGTGCCTTAATGATTGCAGGTGGTCTTGTGTCTTAGGAAATAAAGCACCAGGTGGGGACTGACTGGGTCTTGGGTTATGTAGGTGGTACCAGGGCAGAGCTCATGGTGCTAATGGTGAGTTTATCAGTGTAGCAACCGGTCCGAAGTTTATCACCCGGGGAAGCGGCCTACGTGGTAAGTGCTCACAAACTTGGGAACCTTCTGGAGACGTGGCCCCGGGGCATGTCAGCACAGGGCTTAGTTCTTGGCAGGCAGAGCCCTTCCGCCCAGGGTAGCTGGGTGCTGTGGCGAGGACGCCTACGGTCTCCTTTCTGGGGCCCTTCACGCAGGGACAGTGGAGCTTGTAGATGCCCGTGCGGGATTGGCCTGCCCCGTGTTGGGGGCCAAGGCCACACAGGAGCCTCTGCATGGGCTGAATGAACCTCCCCTCTCATCCAAGGAGTGTGATCAGAGACTTTAGCAGGCGTAGAAAATGAGGTCACGGAGTCAGTGAGAAGCAGGGTGGTGATTCGGATGGTGCTAGACAGTTACTCAGAAAGCCAGGAGGTGGAGTTCCTTTGGGGCTGTAAGGTGCCGGATGCGGGGCACACACCGCCGGGAGAAGCAGGGAGGAGGTGCTGCCTTTGTGAGGGGACATGGCACAGGGTGGTCAGACGGGTGAGAAAGCCCAGCCACCTCCACCCTCCTGCCAGCAGAAGGTGTCTGTCCTCAGCGTGAGGCAAGCAGGACTCGGACAGGGAGAAGCTGCAGTTAAGCTGCTAAACTCCTGCTTCTGTAAGAGGACCGGAAGGGCACTGGGGCTTTGCGGAGGCAGTGTGTCAGGCAGGGAAGGCGGGGCAGCCGGGGGTCAGGTGGAGACTAAGGCAGGGGGTGGGGCCACAAAGTGTGTCAGAGACAGGCTTTGTGAATTCGCATTCTTGGTGCCCCACGTGAGCAGGAGTGTCCCTGTGACACTC